ATATATAAAAAAGGAATTAATTGCATTGTTAATTATCAACGTGAATTCTCTACTGTATATAAAAAAATTATTTAATAGGTCAATTTTTTTTATTTTTAATCCAATCGACCTGACTCCAGAAAAATGCGAAAATATTAAACACGCAAATATTACGACGAGTCACGAGTCAAAACGTTCTGTTCAACTTCAAATCTAACATCTGAAATAAGAGCGAGAAGTGTAATTACCATTCTTTACAGCTTCATAGAAATTGAGTCCACCATGTTCAATAAATGAAAACGTGTAAACGTACTTCGACTTGCGCGTGTTTTAAAGGAATACTGTTGAAACACGAAGCATTGAGCGGCTCGTTACGTACTTTCACAGTTGTGTCGCGCAATTACATATTTTCTGCGAAAACTGAATCACAGTTCGGCATAATCAGCGATCGTAATAATCGAACATCAAACATTTTTCTACGTAGCAGGTGAGGCACGAATGGCAAGGATATTGCCAGTTTGATTAGTATTGACGCGAGTGTTGCATCTTACGTCAATGTCACGTTTCACCCCCGTTTGCTGGACACCTAATTAAAAGAAACACGTACTCGAGGATGCATCGATATTTCTGGTTTACCAGGTCAGTTATCACTTGTCGTGGAACGTCATTGTACGATTAACGTTGCCGCATTTGACGTCATTGTTCCATATAAATGCCGCAAGGATGCTTTGCCGGACACACAGAGCTATCGCAAGCTGATTTAGTAGCTTTTCATAGAGCAGAAGTTCTTTTTTCAACTCTACGAGTTGTACTTGCAGTTTTCCTTGATTTTATCTCCCTTGAGTGATAACTTAAAGATATCCGAGTAATTTTTAAAGTGGTGTTCTCGAGGGCGTTTCTTAGGCCTGGAAATTAGGAGATCGGTCTTGAACGTCGAAGGGACATCTTACCGAAATAACAAGATGGTAAGAATATTTTGAAAATGTTCAAATATGGCTTCAGTGTGATTTGTTTTTGATGGAATTCTGAACTTTTGGCACAATTTTTTTACAACTGATGCTCCAGAAAAGAAAATTCAAAAATAAATTTAAATCAATGATTAAATTATATATTTATATATTTTATAATATTTTGTACTAATATAGACCATACAGTAATATTCTATACTGTAGAAAATTATACAAAAAAAAAATTGTTCGAAAGGAAATTTTAAAAAATAAGATAAAATGTTCCATTCAGAGTTCTCCATCGAAAATTTACGTTTATTAGAATAAATAAGTATAAATCTGAAAATAACACAATAACAATAACAAGATTTTACTGTATTCATCCCAGAGAGTTATTATCTTGGCCGCCTTCTTTCTGACTTTCCTCGGCTGCTGCGCTGCACTTCCGGCCAAGCTGGAGGACAATTCCAATCCGCTTATCGGCATTCCGATTTTATTCGAGGAATCAACCGGTACTGGAAGCAAACGACAGGATGACTCAGCTCCAGTAGCATACGCGCTTTTACTGAGTAAATTGGATGGGTCGGAGAGGGATATTGATAGCACATTGGTCGAGAAACGTGATGTAAAAGAAAAGGATCAGGAGGATCTTGAAACTGCAGCTGGTACTAACGCTCTTCGACCACTGTTCGTCTATCGACAGCAGTTGGCTTACAGGCAACGACTCAGGGACTCGAATCGTCGAGGATATCGATTCTGAACCACGTTAATGGGACTGGTTATGTTGTTGACAACCTGACAAGCCAAAGGACAAGCAGTTTGGTAGCTGAAGAAATGCACGTGATATGGACATTTATGGAAATTTATGAATGAAGGAAAGAATATGAGTTGCCTGTTTTGGTAGACTGGAGGGAAAAAAACTTCAACTTTGAAAAAGAGGAATACTTTTATAGACACCTTTGAAATGATCTATAATCTTTAAAAGGAATACAGTTGGAACAAGAGAACAAAAAAAAAAGTTTTAAAAAATTTACATTTTTAGAAAGAATTTAAAACTATTATTTAATTTTGACAAAGATGAACTTTGTATTATATTTCTTTTTACTGATAAGTGTAGTAGAAAATGCTTTCAAGATATAGAATACGGAAGTAAAGCGAACTTTAAGAACGCTCTGTTAGTTGCCAAACTTGTTAATGGATGAAGTAGTAGAGTTGTTAATTCGATGAGCAAACAGTCCACATGATGAACAGAAACATCAGCGGATACAGAAAATTTGTAGGAAATAATCATCGCAATAATTCAGTCAGTCTTTTAAATTTATGTTTTATAATTTGGTACAAGTTTTTGTGCCAAATTTTTATAAGATAAGATCCTAGTTCATAATATTGTATGGAAGAATGAATTGATACTTTAAGATAATACTCTAATTGTAGATAATTTGTAATTGTAAGAGAAAACTACCCACCATAATGAGCATATTATTGTCAGACATGACAAGATGTAGAATATTATTACGTATGTTATCTATATAATATTATTAATGAATTGTTTTTTGTAATATAATTTTTTATATACACACTATATATATTAATCTCACTTAATAAATTTCTCATGATAAAATATTTAAGAAATTTTTTTATTCTTATACGTATACATATTTAATCTAAATGATTATTAATCACATCAATATACAAACATATAAATAAAGAACAAACTATTTTCCAGGGAATACTGGAATCCTTATAAAATGGTGGGAACCTTTCTCATCACTGGACCAATATCTATTACTGAAAGATGGTTGGTACCAAGCAGGATACAATCTTCTTTCTTCCTCAGATTCTTGTGAATATGTGCTTTTCTTTTCTCTGTCTTTAACATCCATTAAATCTATTTCTGTAGGATCGAATTGACTATAAGATTCTTCTTTGGAGCTTTTTCTTGATGAATCGTCAGTCTCTTCTTCTGCCGTATCATTATTTCCGCCAGAGGTATTATCATCATCATTATTTTTATCAGAAGTATTGTCCCCGTCTAAATTTAACGACTCTTGATAGTCTTCATCTTCACCATCTCGTTTAACACGATACCATGGTTCCAGAACAGAATTATAATTTGATTTTCCAAGTATGATAAGTATCTGTCGATCTTGTCTTTCATCTGTAGTATTCATTGCAGATGCTTCGGAAACTGATGTATTATTTTCTAGAGAAGTTGACCTCATCGTAGAGGTCGCGAAACTTGAATCAAGTTCTAATGTGTTACGCATTGTCTCGTTGTCACTTTTTAAATCAGAAATAGTAGAATTCGAGGACTGCATCGAAAGTGCCTTTATTTCTAAATTGTTGCATTCAAATGGCCGAAGAATTTTTAACAAGATGATCAAGCTAAGGAAACAAATCGGCCGTCCCATTTTCTTCTGTCGTCACTGCTAGAAAATAATCGCAAAGAAAAAAAAAAAAAAAAACTGATCGTTTAATCTTAACTTTCGATTCGACAACAACTGTTGCGAGCTGTTCAAATGCTAATGAGCAACTAAGAAACCGGAAAATTGTTCCCTCTTTTTATAGTCGGCTATATAGAAGCTGCTAAAGTGATCGCTAAACATTTGAATATTATTGACGATGTACTAATTGCCAAATCAGTGTCTAAAGGATCCTGACGATTCAAAATAATATTTATGTGGATAGTATTTTATTCGTTTCACGGATAAGTTGAAAACAAAAATTTTGAGATAGAAAAATATATCTTATTCGTCGACATTTCCTTTACTGTAGTCTTTCGTAATTTTTAATTGATATATTTTTTTATTGATATGTAGTAATATATATCTTAATAATAAGATAAGATCATTAAATTGATATATAGTAATTGCAGTTGGTTGCGTACATATGTATTGTAATTTTACGGATATTGTTATCTCAGACATTTATTATTTCTAGTTACTTAGTTCTTAGATATTTTCAACTTGATATAATATATAATATATTATATATAAATATCAAAACGAATAAAAGATATTTATACCGAATCATCAGAGAACTAATAAATTTGATAAAATAAATCTATAATAACATTCTATATAATATTATATAATAATATTCTGTTAAATCTAATTGTAGAGTGCTATATTTTAATTGAAACTGAGAAAAATTGAGTACAACTTTTGATTGACGAGAGCTGACGTCAGGAAGAACAAACGTGATACTAAAATTGAGGAGGCAAGTTCAAGGTGGAGCTGGCCAAAGTGATGTACCGCAAGGTTGATACTCACGTCTGTTAGCAGGACAACGATAATTCTTTTGGTACCTGGTATAAAACGTGAGCGGACCGTTATTGCTAGTCAGAGTCGAAAAGACGTTGTTCAAGTTTTTGTCAAAGAGGTGAAAAGTCCAAAACGCATTCGAAAGAAGATTCAAGAAGATCCCGTGACAGCAGCGATGAAGCATAAAATGGTACATACCACACATATATAGCCGTTCCTTTTTTTTAAATAACAAAAGAAATATATGCAATAAAATCCTAGACTGAAGATATTTGTATCTTAAATAAATCTATTAATTTTTAAATTCTTTGGGCTTTCGTAATTTTGTGAATAATAAAATAAAAGTGCAAATTAAAAGTAGAGTGTGAAAATTACGTGCTAAAATTTCAATGGCGTATTTCCAGTATTGCGTGACTAAGCGTTAAAATACTGCGCAACACACTATTCACAATTGGGACCTTGGCTAATTTTAATTTAATTAACTTTAATACTGTTATCGTTTTAGGTGACTACGTTGCAATTTGCTTTTTGTCTGGCTTTGATCTGTGCGAACGGTTCAATGGGCAAACCTTTGACAGCAGAGGATGTCGAAGATTTACTTCCACCAGCCCCGCGTGATAAGAACGAAACGATAGCTGCAGTCGTTCAGGATCCAGTTGTTCAGGATGCTGTGCATCACGCAGTTAGCAATGGGTCTCTAAATGGATTGGTTGTTAAAAAGCATGTATTCATAATGCCAGCCACCAATCCGACTATGGTCTGTACAAAACGAACAAATATCATAATTGTAATTTTTATGTAATTTTCGCGTTTCTTTCGTACAAACCTGAAAAAAAAAAAACAAGAGTTTTCAAGTGGAACAATATTTAAGTTGAAAATTAGCATTTTAGGTATTTTAAGACAATTAGCACACCTTGTAAGATATTCCAAAAATACAAATTTTGGCATTGAACTGGCTGTATGACTTCACTATGACTACTATATGATAACTGAACAATAATCTTCTTTATTGTACTGAAACTGTAGTTGAAATAGTTTGAAATTTTTATTCTTGGATTTTATCATATCAATTATCAATTATATCTAACTAAATAATTGATTATTTTGTTATGTTAATCTTGAATTATCTTTTATCCAAGATATTATCGAAACGCGAACATCTGCTAGTCGTTCCCACCGAGAACTTGGAAGATGTGCGAAAAAATATTACAGCAGCGAAAGAAGCAGAGGCTCAAGAATCCTCATCGCTGGAAAGTCAAGCATTCTTCGAGGGCGACGCAAGTGACTACGCGCCACAGGTAAAGGATAATAACTCAGCATGGTCATTCCATCCAATCAGATCTTCGTCTGTGATAGAAAATGGTGATGCATGTCAAGTTGATCTTGCTAGAGAAATCTATTATTTAGATAAATCTGTTGTTTTTTTTTTCTCTCTCTGTGCAAATTGTATTGTACCGTGTTAAAAAATTTTACGTAAATTCCTTTCTACGATATGAGAGTTTGGCTATTTCAAAGTAGAATTTTTTTTTTATCAGGTTTCTTAAAAAGAATATCATTAAAATTATTATCTCATAGTTTTGAATTATTAAATGGAACAATTTGAAAGAAGTATTACCGTTGTATTAAATGATTCCCTTTATATTTTCATTAATCATTAATATAGTCAATTTCTAATTTTCTTTCGATTTCCAGGACAACGAAAGCGGATTAGAAGAAAAGGAAAACGAGTCTTTCCCAGAACAGAATGTTGCCCAATCAGTGCCATTGAACGAGAAACGTAAAAGCGGAACTGAATTCTTGAAAGACAAACTCAGCGACGGAACTGTGTTACCGGAGGATTCATCTTCAAAAACGGTAGCTGTTCCCATTGTCGCGGTTATTGATCCCTCGAACGCTGAAAAGGGCAAAGTGAAGAGTCCGATCGTGGCCATTTTGCCTAACGAAGTTAAAAATGGCCAGTTGAATAGCCAGATGGAATTTTTGAAAGATAACAGCGGAAAGATTCAAAAGGAAGCTCAGTACTTTGTTGATCAGAGTTCATTGACAGTCAATCCTGATTATTGGAAATCGTCAACACCATCGGAGGTAAATTCTGATACAAACTATGTGTAATAAGAATGTAAAATCAGAAAGAAGAATATAGAATATCATTTTTATTACAGTAGTTGTGGGAAAAATAGAGGATTTTAAAAGGTAAAAGAAGAGAGAAAAGAAAGAAGAAAGAGAGAAAGATAAAAATTAGAATAAATTAATAAATGCTACTATTATTAATAATTACTAATATTACAATATAAAGTTCAATATAAAGAATTAATGTAATTAATATGCAATAATAAGCATAATTGCTAAAATGAAAGAAACTTTTTCTATTTTCAGATTATCGTTGCTTCATCACCAACATATAACAGTGACCCAGTGTCATTAGCCACAGACGGAATGCTTTTATCTCCAGTAGTAGTGTCGCAATGGGCAATGCTATCACCATCTCTGCAGAATGATCAAATAGATTATTCCCAAGAAATTCCAGGTGACATGGATGTAGCTGAGGATATTGTATTTAGGCCTCTGTTCAAATATCGGCAGGAATCACAGCAACGGTCTAAGTACTATGACGGCAGTAATCGACGATACAGTTACAACAGTTATTATCCGAGACGCCCTTATTTTTACAGACCTTCATATGACTATTATTAAAAACGAGGAGGATTAGGGCGAGAAGAGGAAAAGAAAGAAATGTAATTTACGCTTGGATAGAGACGGGAAAAGAAGATATTTTGATCTGATACATTTCTCATTGCTTTACGATTCTATATTTTAATACCTAGATAAAATTTTGTCTCCATTTACACTATGCATAGAGAAAAATATGTTTTCTGTTCAAGTTGAGTATCAATTAAATTGTGAGTTCAAATTTTGAATTTTGATTTCTTTCTTCTCTTTTTATTTTCATCTTTATTAAAATTGAGAAAAGTATGATGATGATGAATGCTGGTTTTTGTGGGAAGTTACTGATTTTGAAAGGAAGAAAATTTGAGCCAGAAATGTAGACAAATTAAACAAATTTTCCGTTAAAAAAAAAAAAAATCAATCTTTTTTTGAAACCCCGAAAAGATTAATCATATTTGTTCATCAAATAAGTGCGAACGAAAAATTAATTCTAATCATTCACGCTATAAAAAGAATAGAAAGCAACAATAGAAACCATGAAATTTACTTTAAGGCTACAAACTGATGCTTGAAACGTTGTGAATGATGACAAGGTTGTCAAGAAATGAAGACTTCAATGGCATCGGTGTCATTTCCAAACGAATTACCACCGTTTATTTCTATAAAATATCAACTTAAGACTTTCTCTCAGTATTCCCTCATTTCTCTACATATCTGTAGAAAAATTTAATAAACTATTTATTTCAAAAAACTCAGATACAGTTACATTATTAGTAGTTACAAAATTCACAACGATTTTACTGTTGTTAAAATTCATTCTTCGATAAAAGAAAATAAAAAAAATGTAATTCTTAGATCTATTTGTCATATACATACACATCTGTTAATATATGTACGTTTCTTTAATGAAATAATGATGTCATTTCAAAGAAATTTGAAATATGATAAACAATGATTGGAATTAAAAGAAGATAAACTTATCAATTCCAGAATGTAATTTCGTACAAATGTAATATTATGATAATAAATAACACGATAACTTAAAAAGAAACTTTTTATCAATATAGATATAGATACGCGTAAGATATTCATAATAATCAAATTAAAATTCATCTAGAGATTAATGTTTGATGATGAAACGCGTTCGATGAATACATATTCACAAACCAATTTTCTACGAATGAATTTCGATAACTACGTTTACACGTGACAATAGTTACATTACAGACATGAATTAACGACATGTTAATGTCTGGAATTGTTAGTCATTCATTCGTTTCTTGATTCATTCATCGAAGATGTCGAGCAGATGTTACGACGACGA